CTTGGTTATCAATTGGCAAGATGAATATGTGTTGTGTTCAATAGGAGATTCAAGAGTTTGAGATAAAGTACAATGTGGCGGTTCTCATCTCAAAAGGTTTAAACGAAGAGCACAAATTCCACTTCACGTTCCCTCTACTTATTTTGTTCCATATGCTTCTTTATATATCCTTTAAGCTTGCGCTTTAATTGGTCTATTCATGCAATCCATTTCTAACTTTTTAGCTCTGATCTTTACTTGAATTTTAACTTCTTATTTGTCAAGTTCAATTAAGGGTTTTGAAGTTGGGCCTTTGGATTGTGAGTTGGAAGTTAGTGTGGAAATGGTATCCGTGTTTGAAAAGTGAGTACCTTGAGGCTTTTAGGAACAACAAGTGTTTAACTAGTATATACTTACTTATTATATGGTGGTAGGTGTGACATATGACTTTAAGTGCATATAATTTACGAAAAACAAACGTGTGGAACAATACCCTTTTTGATAATGACAAAAGGGGGAAGAATATGTATGATGCTTATGGTATGCAGTAATTAAGTCTAAAGTTATTACATCATGATTGTTGAAAGTATTTATATATTGATAAATGATGTGTATTGCTAAGTTCCTAACTATTAAGTTCTTGTGTATGTTCTTAACTTGTTTAAATGTTATTTCCTTGAAAAACTAAGGGGGAATAAATGTACAACGATTATCCTTTAATATGTGATGAGCATCAATAGTTTGTCATCATCAAAAAGGGGGAAATTGTTGAGCAATTAGGTTTTGATGATTATAAACTAATGATGATTATCTATCTAACGTGTATGTTAAGTTGTGCATAGAAAAAGCAAATTATGCTTGGAACAGGATACAAGGAACCTGAGTAATGACAGGTATATATGTAAGGAACTTGAGCAATATAGGATAAGCAATAGAGGAACAAGAACAACGATAAGTGTTATGGTTGATAAGCATGATGATGGCTAAGGGACCATGAAGGTAACTATGTAAACATGTGTTTACATATGTTAGCTTCATAAGGTAAGTATCCTATACATATATAGGTTATGTATGTGTAGGAGTCTTTTAATTTAGTTTAGTTTTCTTTATTGTTTTTATAAATAAAAAACTAACCTTCTGTTTTACTTTGTTATTCTCAGAAGTTTGCTCAGTTCGTCATCATCAAAAAGGGACAACTTGTTGATCCTTATGAGGTTTTGATGATGATGTTAAGAATTGAGCAAACTTCCATTTAATAAGGATTTTCTAGTGTTGTGATGTTTGCAGGTTCAGTAAGCGTTGAGGGCTGAAGTAGGAATTGAAACAGAGGAACTTTAGAGGATCCATGAGGATACAAGTAAATTTAGAAGAAGAGTTCCAGAAATGGAACTTCCAGAAGTTTCTTAACAAGAACTTCAAAACGGGTTGTAACGACCTGGTTTCGGTGTAATGCTGGGGAAAACCCTAAGATCCAGAATATATCAAGACTACAGGATTCCAGAACAAGAGTTTCAGAGAAGCAACATGAAGACAGAGAAATAGAAGTATATTGCTCTAGGATTCATGTAAGTATGTTGGACATAAAAGTCGGTCTGGAACAAGTCTATATAGAACCAAGGTGAATTCCAAACAGTCAATGAAATTAGAGTAACTGACTTGTCAGGAACTCAGAGACTGTCAGAGTTCAGGAACCTAATAGGAACTTAAGTATGAACGTCGTTAAAAGTCGGTTTTAATGATATATATATTTACCTTATACGTGCATATCTTTTAGGGATTTGGTTTTACTGAATAAAGATATTTATCTTCTAATAAATCCCTTTTGGAAAAAGATAAGATTGTTTAAAAAGTATTTTAAACAAAAAGATAAGTTTTGAATAAAATCTGATTTTATGCTAAGTTTATCTTATTATTATTGACAGTTTTTATTCTTAACAAAAAGATATATTTTCGGAAAACTGATTTTTAGAAAATATCTTTTAAACTTATCTTTTCAGAAAATCTATCTTTTTCAAGTTGAAATGAATAATTCGAGTGTACTATAAATATGCTCATATGCATTCATTCAAAGTTGAGGCTGACGAAGTATAGTGGTCGTGCTTAATGGTTTTATCCTTCACCACGAAGCTAAGTCAGTCCTCCTGGTCAAAGTTCCTATCAGGTTTTTGGTTACAGTACGTCTAGTGAGTTCCAGACAGATCTTGAGTGTTCAACATATTAGTTTTATCTCTTTATTCATAGATATGTATTTAGGGATATTCGATGAGATCTTGTAATGGGAAAAAGGGTTTTGAGTGTTTTGTATTTTGGGGTGAGATTGTGAATTCTCTTAAATTCACGCTTGTGTATGAGTTTGAAATCTGGTAAAATTCGAGTGGTAGCTGTGAGTGCACAGTGAGTGAAAGGAACCTGAGAAGTGTCTTGGGTCACCTAGGAAGTTTCCTGGGTAAAGGGAGAAAAAGGGTCCTGAGAAGTGTCTTAGGTCTGGTAGGAAGTGTCCTATCATAGAGTCAAGTGTCCGTGGCGGAACTTGCAAAGCAAAGGTCTGTGTAATAGGTTGTACTAGGAGAGTTGCCTATTATAGTGGAATTTGTTTATAAGTCCCAATAGGGCCGAGGTTTTACTTCCAGTTAGGCACTGGATGGTTTCCTCGTAAAACTTGCTTTGTGCTTTAAGTTCCTTTACGTTTTGTTTTTAATTTCCGCATAAGTTTCGCGATTGGAACCTACTACCATTCACCCCCCCTCTTGTAGTAGTTCATCTAAAATAACAGCTACCAAACGATAACTCTCAACTTCATGTAAGGCCTCTCTTCCTCACAAATGCCTTTGCCTGAGTTGCTTACTCTAATGTTGAAGCCTCTCTATTTATATACTTAGAAGCTCAATATTTTGTGACGTATATATCGACTTTATTTGCTGAATCTTATCTTAATTTTTTTTTTACCAAAATTATTGCCCATCTAGGGATTTATTCTTTCATGATATAGGGACCAAAACTTTGACTTGGAAATTAAATCATTGGTGATTTTGACATTTAATATATGGAATAAAGTAGGGAAAATTGTCAACTAGGGCATGTAATATTTTTATACATGGAATATAATTAATCAAAACTTCCAGCAGTGTACATACTAGCAATTAGCTTTCAAAATTGTGTCATTTTCTTGTCACTTTTTTTTGATGGAATTTTCTTTTCAAAAGGTTTAAAAAAAATTCAAAAAAAAATTTAACCATGAAAAATTGAACCCGAATCATTGTGCCAGGATGTGAGGATGTCCACTACACTCGAAAATGTTATGCTCATGGTCTAGTTACACCCATTTTTTGCTGGAAAGCGTGGAAGCTTCCTAAGTGAGCAAACATATTGGGAAAAAAAAGCTTAATTTGGAATTATTGCATGTATCGTACAATACTCGTTGATGAATATATATACATACAAACATAAGATCAAAAGATTGATACAATTTGATTACTTCAATCTTGTCATTTATTTTGATTAGTTGTCATTAAATCACAAAAAATTACAATCTCAACAATTATACGATTCCATTAATGTATATTAGCTGAGAGCTGTACATGGACGACGTTAGTCTATGGGAAGTGAAAACCATCCACGTACGAAAAGAAAAGGAGATGATGGCTACCTATGTGTATAATCTTATATTACAAGACAGATTGTACGTGTATATATAATTAGGCCAAATTCAATCAAAAGGTTTTTGCTAATCATCACTTATTAGTTGATGAGAATGTGTTGATAGAGAAGCAAGCATGCCAATTGATCACCTAAGCTAGTGTCATTTGCTAATGTTTATATAGAGCAACTCCATCCGCACTTATAAAAGGAAAAAAAAAAAGTGGTTATTTTTTTATTCTCTTATATATAAAATTTCTCCTTTCTTCACGTCATTTAATTTTGGACATCTCGGACTACATGACTCATTAAATAAACAATCACTGATTCAAAAGTAATGTTTTTTGAAAGAAAACCCATTCCTATTTTTATACTATACCTTATGTCTAAATTGGAGTTTTTTTCCCTCTCACCCACATCAATTTTTTGACACTCCTTATAAATTTTTGCTACATAATACAAGTACATGTACTTCGTGTATGTCTAGTGTTGATTAAACAATATTTACTCTTGGATTAAGAAAAAGAAGGAATGGATTTTTCTTAAATTCAAAAAATTGCCAAAGAAAATTGTTCTATGATCTTGTCCTAAAACATCATCATCATGTCAAATACTGGTAGATCGATCGATTGTAATTGCTGAAAAGGAGAAGTCATTTAGACAACACCTTGTACTCCATATATGTTTATGTGTTGGTAAGAGCTACAAGTGCTTATAAAAGGTTTAATCGTAGGGATGTAGGATTATCTATTAATATATATACGTGAGTTATTAGTATAGTACCTTAAACTAATGTACGTCTTTTCTTTATTTGGTCGCTTTCTTGCGAATCTTTGTACGAGTATATAATTTAACTTTATTTTTTCTTCATATATTTACTTATGTATATTTGTAGCTTTCGTCATCCTTTTGAAAGAGGTTGACTTCTTGTATGCTTTGTGTACTTTTCTTCCAATATTAATACGCGTGTGATAGTGTGAGTAATTCAAAGATACAAAAATTTCATTTCAACAAAATAAAGGCATCATTATTGATTAGTACAAAGCATTTCAACAAAATAAAGGCATCATTAATCATTATTAATTAGTACAAAGTATATTACTACCTCCGTTTCTATGTGTAACAAAGGAATATTTTATGTCTCACAAATAATAACCCTAGGGGTGAAAGTTCGGTATTCGGTTTGGATTATACCCCAAACCGAATCCAAACCGAATTATTTCGGTTTTGGATTTTTGAAACCGAATCCAAACCGAATTTGGATTCAATCCAATCCAATCCAAACCGAAATAATTCGGTTTTGGATATTGAATCCAAACCGAACCGAATTTCTTTGGGCTTGTTTTTTTTGGGCCTTGAATTCTAGGCTGTTATTGGACAAATAGTTTTGGGCCTTTTAAAGACCTAATTTTTGTACCTGTTCCTGAACAAAACATAAATTTTTAGACAAAGCTTCCACCACCACAATTAATGTCACGAATTACAACACTTAAGTTTGTCCAGCCAAAATAAAAATTACAGACAGTCAAACACAACAGTAATCTTAAACATAAAATGACAGTATGGCAGATTGGCAGCAGCTTCATTCAAATCTGGCATTAGCTTCTTCTTCTTGGCAGCGTACTCTTCATGCATTCAATCAAGCTCAACCAAGTTTGGGTTGATTGGATCAGTAATTTTCATATTCTTCAAGTCTAACATTCAAAAAATAAACAAGTTACATAATACATATGACATAATGAAAAAAAAAAACACATGATAATTAATCATTATACTACAAAAATAAGGCTCATAAAGTAATGAATCTATCAAAAATAACATAAGTACTCACCAATTTGAACATAACAGAACAAAACATCACTATAAAGATTGAACAAAACATCACCAATTTGAATGGAATCAATTCGAACATAATAACCCAGAGATAAATCAAAATTCCCAATTTGAACATAATAAATTAATAACTCAATTTCACAATTCGAACATAATAAATTAATTTCCCAGAAATAACTCAAAATTCCTAATTCGAACATAATTCAAATTCCCAATTCAAAAAAACAAATGAAAGAGGAGTAAATAAAAAAATCCTTACCTTTGAGTGACTGAGAGAGGTGGTGGCGATAGAAGGTGGTGGCGCGTCGCGGATTGAGGGAGTACGAAGTCTACGAACACCAGATATGAAGAAAGGAACTGATATTCGACCAAGGAGACAATATACGGTGGCCGGAGTGAGATACGATGGTCGGAGTGAAGGAAATGAAGGGTTTTGGTGAGGAAGTAGAGGAATTGAGGAGTGAAGGTGGCCGAAAGTCAGAAAAATGAAGGAGAAAATTAGGGTTTGCTATATATATGTAGGGGAATTGGGCTGGAATCTATATGGGCTTTAAACATTTCGGTTTGGATTTCGGTTTTCGGTTTTTTAGGACCAGAACCGAATCCAAACCGAAATAATTCGGTTTCAGGATTTTGGAACCGAATCCAAACCGAAAACCGAAAAAACCGAACCGAATTTCTAGTTCAGTTTGGTTTGGATCGGTTTTCGGTTTTTATCCAAACTACTTTCACCCCTAAATAACCCTTTGTTATACGAGTACATAATAAGAAACAGAGGTAGTACAATTTTTACGAAGTACACTTTTGATGAAGCATCTATGTGAAAAACATGCCACGTGGTTAAAGTCTTGGCGAGTCGATCTGATTAGGCTCAAGATCATACATTGATCCTGCTTGATAAACAGTCGACCCATAATAGAGCGGGACCAAGCCAAGGGTTCACATCTTTGAAAAGACGAGCATCCTGCAGCCATCATTAAAAAAAAAAATTTAAAAGGAAAGGTACACTGCATAAAAAGTTAGGATAATCTTCTTCTCTGCTCTGAAACTTAACTTATAAAAGGAAAAAAAAAAAATTGATTGTCTACGACGAAATCAATATTTTTAGTGTGGTTTCCTGGCTGAGATAGCAACATGTATACTCAATCGGCGATTAGCTTCTTGGTAGTAGGGTTGAGCAACTTCCGAATATCATCCATGCATGCACACATAAGCGCAAGCAGTTGAATTTTCTAAGGGCATGGACGTACTTGATCCTGCAGGATGTTAATTGTGGTCTACGTCCTATTAAATAAAGTAATAAACCCTACTTTTCTGGCATATTGGGAGTTCTATATAGTAACTAATGTAAATACATGTGGGAGAATTAGGAAAAAAAAAAAAAAGGAGAAGAAGACAATAATGATGTTGCATATATATTGTATGAGGATTGTATTCAGAATTATGCATGCATTATATATCGTTGAGCAATAATTTATAATCTGAAGAGAATATATACCGGAGTATGTGGCCGGATGGAGTAATAGATTTTGAAAATTTAAAAATATATATATATATATATATATATATATATATATATATATATATATATATATATATATATATATATATATAATGTAGAGCATTATTGATCTTTGAAAGTTGATAATGCAGCCTGAAATATCCATGTGTAAAACTCACCCTATCATACCAAGAAGATATAACCCGTTATAGACTTAACGTGCTAGAGAGTATATCCATATCCAAATTTAAAACGGATTTTGTAAACATAGATAATAATTAAATCAGTAAGAGAACTTTCGACATAAAATTACTTATATTACCTCATCATTACATTTTCACCCTAAATACCTCATAAAACTTGCATATATTGATCAAACACGCGAAATCCATGGAAGAGGAAAGCCTAGCATGAAAGTGGAGAGTTTGTCAAGATAGCCAAGGAGACTGCCTGGCACCAAATCATGAGGATCCTATATAGTCTTATACTTTGCTTTCTCCATCCGGATTTAGTTTCCACGTTAAACGCTATCTATGTAACGTGATTATTCAACCTGGATATAGAGAGTATAAAGACTTAAGATAGACCCTCAAGATGATAGAAGCAGGCAAGTCATCCTTGGCTACCAAACAATAAAACTCTCAACTTCATGTAAGGCCTCTCTTCCTCTCAATTTGCCTTTAATTTGTTGCTTGATGAGTTGCTCACTTCATTGTACGCTCCTCTATATATACTACGGAGTACATACGTAAATAGCCAAAAATAAGCTCATTATTTTGACTAATAAATATGCCTATGGTGCATGGACTGCATCTTATCTTAGTTTTCTACCAGTAAAATTGCTTAGATTGGGATATATTCTTTAATAGTGTATAGGGTATAGACCAAAACCTTGACTTAGCTTGAAAATCATTTGTGATATTGACACCTGATTTGGAATAAATTTAAGTGGACCGTATATTATATTGTCAACTGGTCATGCAATTTCATATCGATCTATGGACACGTGTTCATACTGTAATAACTATGCCTTTGTGGTTTATTCTGACATTAGTAGCATCATTGATTTTATATAATTTTTTTAGTTTTATAAGATCAAATTATATCATCTTTTGGCACAGTAAGGTGGAGATCGATTTAAGATGGTAAACGGATGAATAATTAATTAAGTATAACTTAGCCTACTATATCTCGACGGCCCTCTTATTATCAGTCAAGTTATCTTAGTTGATTTGTCTTATAATTGCCTCTTCTAATGCCCTCCTTAATATGCACGCCAAAGGGACAGTGTAGCGATTAAAAAATAAAAGAAAGTGCGGAGTAGATTTATGCATAATTATTTTAACACAAAATTAAAATAAAATAAAATAAGATAAATTTACTCATCAAATTATAACTCAATTAATAAAACATTAGGGAAAACGTGGACTCAAATAGTTCTTTTTATTGTAAAAATTCATTAAAAAAAATTTCTTCTATTAATTATATTACCGCGGAGTAGTAATTTTGAATGAAATCAAAGTTAAATGAAATCCGTCCCTTTATTGTTCACATGTGAGTTGCCCTGTAAGACTGTAACCCTATTGTCCACATTGGGGAAAGAGGCAAGAAAATGCCCCTTTAAATTAGGAGTTATATATTCCTATTATTCTGTATTATCAAATGTTCTTATGGAGTAGTATGGAACCTCCTTTAAGTGGATCAAACTCTAATCCTCACCCTATTACGTAGTGAGGGTGTGAATTATTATTATTATTATTATTATTATTATTATTATTATTATTATTATTATTATTATTATTATATATATATATATATTTTGACAAGATGGTGTGAATTATTATTACATGCATGCATGTTTGCCTTTGCTTGAGATGTTCACTCCATCGAAATACATGCACATATATATACAATGAAAAATAAAGGTCATTTACTCATTATTTTGTGAGGTGAATATGACTGCTATCCTTAATTATCATAATTTTATACCATATTAAAATAATTTCCCATATTGAGATATATTTCATAATGTATGTATATAGACCAAAATTTTGACGTAATATTCATTTAATATGTGATCTTGACAGCTGATATAGAATAAAATCAGACCAAATAATATTTTCGATTGGGAATGCAATTTTGTATATAGAATATATGGAATAAATCCTAACTTTAACTAGTTTACTGTGTACATGCATACTAGCAAAATTGACTATAATTTGTGCGTCATTTTGTGCGTCATATTTTTTGTTTTTGTTTTGGTCTTAATTATTTATATTGGTTTTCTAAAGTTTATTGGACACGAAAAACAAAACATTGAGAATAAACCCACTAATTGATTATCTTACAATTAAGCATCAAAATACAACAACAAAACTCCTTTCTACATTTATAGTTGAACATCAGACACCTAATTATCTAATATTAGAGAAAAATCCAACTTACTAGAATTCAGCCATGATGTTACAAATATTCTAATCTTAATCTATTGAATAAAACCCAACTTACTACTAAGCCATTTTAATACAATTATCAGACAACAATTGAGGTAAACCTATCATATATGTGATTAAGTCGGTAATTACAAGCAATTAAACAAAACTAACAAATCAATTGTGTTTTTTAAATAACCAGACCAACTAATTCACTAATCTAACATAAGTAAATGATTCAAAAGCTTAATATACCTTAACTGGGATGTTGCCTTCCGAGAATCACAAACGGCTAGGCTGGTACCGTCCGACTCCGTCAACAACTCAACAAGGACGGACGGGAAGTCGAGAACTTGACTTACACCACCAACTGGACAAGAAGCCGAGAATACCACCCACATTTACAAAATGACATTGGAGCCGTTGAATGAGCTCGATTTAGAAGAGAGAGTAATTTGGGGCTTTGAGGTTAGAGTTTGCTATTAGAACGAGGAAACGCATGATGGGGTAAAGGGAATTGGGGATCTAAAAAAAACCTAGAAATTAACAAATTAAACTAATACCATAAAAGGGAAAATAACAAAGAGAGAAACTGAAGGCTTGAGGCTGAAAATGCACAACGAACTAACGTACCACCTTTGCCATGAGTTTGTAAATATGTGTACGTGGTTGAGTATGTATTTCTTACCATTCATAATCAAGTGACCATTTTATCACAATGAAACAACACAACGAACCACCTGATTCTACGGAAGAGTTTTAATTTGCTTAATTTGATACGTTAATGATTAGTGATTAAGTCTACCCGTAATTTATCCCATAGACAAAAAGAAAAAAGACTGTTAAATATACGGGCTGCATTGAAGATTCCGAGCCAACTCATCACAACAACGAAGAACAACAAACTAGCTACAACAATTTGCTAGCAGCCAAAAGTTTGTTATACCGTATTGCCAAGTCAGCATAATTTGTTACAACAAACTTCCAGCTCAGCCAAAGATCCAGAAAGTTCTGAAGTTCTAGTGCAGCTTATTTCTTTGTAATAGAATCTAGTATAAATAGCTTTTATTAGCTTATTTTAATTGTAAGCTCTCATAATAAAAAACACACAAGTTTTGTATGATGTATTTTTCTCTCTAGATTTCTGTTTTCCTTTTCTTCAATAATCAAATACAAAGTTAGATTTTCTTTCATCTTCTTCAAATGTGCTTTTGTAACATGGTATCAGAGCTCGAATAATTGATCCATATTATTTGCAATTATCGCTGAATTGTTGCTGCATTTGGTGAATAAATTCTGCTGTTACAATTTTCTGTAAGAAATTTTGATTCTACTTATTTTTTCAGCTGCATTACTTGATCGATTCTTGATTGAGTTGCTTGATTGTTTTTTTGCCTAAATTCTAGAGTTTAGTTGATTGTCAATTTGTTGAATTCTTGAATCTGCTGAGATGGAATCACAAAATCAATCTCTCAATGATCCTTCAATTGATCCAATCTTACCTTACTACTTGCATCCTAGTGATTCACAATACAAACTAGTTTCTAAGAAGTTTAATGGAAGTAGTTATAACGTCTGTAATGATAGCTTTGTCAGCTAAGAATAAACTAGGATTCATTGATGGATCAATTGTCAAACCAGCTGTTGATTCTACAATTTTCAAGGCTTGGCATAGGTGTAATAGTACAATGATTTCTTGGTTTATACAAGCACTTGATACTACAATTGCACGAAGTGTTCTGTATTTTGATAATGCAAGAGAGATCTGGTTAAATTTGGAGGAACAATTTGGTCAAACATCTGGAGCTCGGTTGTATGATATTCAGTAACAACTTGTTGAGATTCATCAAGGAACTGAGAACCTTTTACACCAAGTTTAAGATGCTATGGGATGAATATGATGCTAATGATCCTATAACATTCTGTAACTGCTTGAATTGCACATGTAATGTCACTAGGAAGATACTGAAATCACAAGAAGATCGAAGGTTGACTCAGTTTCTCATGAAGCTCAGAGAAGAGTTCAGTCAAGTCAGAGCTAATATTTTGATGTTCTATCCTCTGCCTACAATTTCTCATGCTTACAGACTATTGATGCAAGAAGAAAGG